ATCCCCCCCCCCCCAGAAGACAGCCCCCCTCGGTCCCCGTCCCACCCTCCCCGCTCACTCCGAGGGGCGGGCTCACCACTTTCTGGAACTGCTTCTCCTTGCGGGGCTCCACCATGACCAGCCCCTCCTTCACCAGCCCGAGGCCCACGTCTCCCTTGGAGTCGGCGAACTGGAGGGTGACGTGGGGGCAGCTGGGCCCGGCGTGCTCCACGTTCAGCAGGCACTGGCTGTTCTGGATGTCGCGCACCACGCTGTCCACAGCATCCGCCCGGGCCTCCTCCTGGGGGGGGGGAGGAAGCCGTCACTGCGTGGGGCTGCTGGGCCCTGGTCCGTGGGTCCCGCAGGCTCCCTCCTGAGGCCCCAAGGGCTGAGCTGGGTCAGGATCCGGGCCCCAGACCCTCCTCAAGGCAGCCCGCCCCATTTCCTCAACAACTGGGGCTGGCTGGAGCAGCCAGGCCTCCTTCGGTGGGACTCCTGAGAGCCTTTCTCGAGGGCTGTGAATGGTTGCCCCCCCCCTCCCAAGCTCCCAACTCGGCCCCTCCATCGGCTGCAAGAAATCCCCCCCCTACCCTCTCGGTGGGTGGAGGGGCAGAGACCCGTCCCTCTGCCAGCCTCCACCGGACCCACACCATTCAGAGCACGAGGCCAGCCTCCACCACGGAGCCCATGGGTGTCCCTCTTCCCCCCGCCCCCAAAGAACACCCCTTCCCACACCCCACACCGCTGAGCCCCAAGGGGCATATCTTCTTCCAGCCATGAGGAAGCGCCCCCCCCTCCGAAGGACTTACATCGTGGGGCACCTGGATGAAGGCAAACTTGTACTCAGTGGCTTGAGCGGGCATGATCCGTGTGCTGAAGGCCTGGGGCAGGGTGGCCAGGCGGGTGGAAGGCAGGGTCTCTTTCTGCAGAGAGGGAAGAGGGACGTGCCCTGAGAAGGGGAGGCAAAGAGGGGGGGGGTTGGATGGCCCTGGACCCCTTGCAAATCCCGGGGAAAGGGGCCGAAGGATGCAGATTCAGGGAAGCCGGCAGAAGGCCCCTGCAAAGGCCCCTGGCGGTGGAGGGGCGTTCAGAATCCGGTCGGGGTGCCACTCGGCTTGGGGCTCCTCTCCACTGACCCTCTCCCACCATTATTTATTTATTTATTTATTGGACCTATATACCGCCCCATAGCGCTGCAAGCACTCTCCGGGCGGTTTATAATTTTAATTATACAGGCTACACATTGCCCCCCCCCCG